CTCTATGATTCTATGACAACATTTATTAAGGATGTGTTATGCTGCATAGCTCTGCTGATGTCCACTATTTTTTTTTATTAAAACTCTTCTAGCTTGTCTTGAAATTCCTTTAATAATTTGTGCAACTCATAGGTAAAACCAAGAGGAAATTTAAGGATCAAGCTGCATACTGCATGTAATTGATGTACTTTACTCTGAAAGTGTGTGTGCGTGTTTGTGTGTGTGTGCATGTTGGAAGGCTGCAGAGAAACAGAGGAAAGGCTTAACTCTTTGCCCTCTGTACTCACCTCCTTCTCAGTCTTCTCTTCTTCTTCCTACTACTGATTCTTGTGAGTCTTTCTCTTCTCCCTGACCTCCACCTCACATATGGGAAATGTAACCATGCAACTGTTTGGTCCTCTCTTTGGTAGATAAGACTGCTGGTAATCTTGCACCTTCTCCTGATTGTACAGCCAAGCACAGAGTATTATAAACTGTCTGAGGGCGGGATTGTTGGCAGTGTGTTTTCCCTCTTCATTTTATAATGTTGTATAACGAGTTTTCTGTGATCCATACATAAAAGGTTAAACAATCCTGATTAAAATGTACAGATAAAAATATCAGATGTGGCCTTTCTATCTCATGTCAGAAGTATGGGATTGGTACTGGATATTAAAATCTGTATGAAAGCCAGAGACAGGTTAGATGTTGCCTGAATTAAATTGCCTAGTTATTAGAAAGAAATCAAACTCAATCAGGAAAACCATCTGTTGTGTGTGATATACTGTAATCCCTTTTTTAACAGTGTAAATGTTATTGATGTTTTTAATCTAAATGTCATGTCACTATTGGCAACCATAGCAAGAATCCAGTCTAGCTATGTGATTCTGCCCTGCCTCTCTTGCTGCCCCACAATGTGTTCAACAGCTCTGTTGGGTATTAAAAGAATCGTGAACTTTCAGCAGGTCCCAGAGTGAAGCCTATCTCAAGTAATGATGTGTGGGTGTTGAAACAGGCTGTTTACTTTCTATACATCTTATAAAATCTCACTGTGAGGTATGGGGATGAGCCATAGCCTCACCCATCTGCTAGGGCTGAATAGGTATTATCTTGGCTGAGCAATGGGGTGGCCAACTGCACCCAGACATCCACGTTCCAAATTAACTGGTTTCCCCATCTAATATTAACCAAAATTCTTAACAGAAGTGACACAACATAGTTTTCTGTCACCACTTTTACAAAAATGGAGCACCAGAAGTAGAATTTCAGGAGTTTCTGCAGTGTGAGGGATTTTTCTACCCATGTCTGGTTGTTTTGGCGTGGTTTAGGGGTGAGAATTGTACAGGATATGTTTTAAAATGGAGGGCTTGCTGATGGTGGACTTCAGTGGCCTCAAAAGTGTGTTCTGGGGTACCCTTTGGCCATAGGCTGCATGTTTTTCACCTCTGCTCTAGGCTCAATCTGACCTTTAATCATATGAATGTCTCCTTGGTGGTATACAAGTCATACAGTGGAGTCAAAGGCTTTCATGGCCAGCATCCATAGGTTTTTGTGGGTTTTTTGGGCTGTGAGGCCATGTTCTAGAACAGGGGTAGGCAGCCTTTTTGAGCCGGGGGCCGGTCTGCCAAAGTCCTCCCTCCCACTGGGCCGAGGGGGGGAATGGTGGTGCGTGCGCTCACGTGTGTGCGTGCGTACCCCCGCCACACACGACCCCCCTGTGCGCATTGTCACCACCATTGCTGCGTGCACTGCCGCACCCACCTCTGCATATGTCGCGGCCGCCATTTTGATTTCCAAAATGGCGGCCGCAATGCGTTTGCGCATGTGCAGTACTCCCAGGGGTCCGTCTGGGCCGGTAAGTGCGGCTACCTGGGCCAGAATTGGCCCGTGGGCCATAGGTTGCCAGCCCCTGTTCTAGAAGAATGTATTCCTGACATTTCGCCTTCATCTGTGGCTGGCATCTTTTTGGTCTCACAGGCCAAAACCCCCACAAAACCATACAGTGAAATTTTGTGAGCTTACACTAGGCAAGATGGGAGACAGGGGGTGAGGAAGCTAACAGTGACTCATCTGTTATACATTAATCACTACTTAATTATTGTTGGATGTAGAATCTTTTGACCTATACAGAAGGAATGGAACTACTGGAATGGATTGTCTCTTCTGGTGATGGAATCAGACGTTGATTTTACAAATGTGTTTGGCTATACCATCTAGTCTCTCAAGCCCTTTGCAATAGTTGGAATGGAAAGAGTATTTGGATGGTAGTTTGTCACATGGGTGAAATTAAGAGTTTAAACAATGATTAACCCATGACAATCATACATTGACATTAAAACGTGCTTAAAACGACATTAACACATGTGCAATTATCCTGTGAAGAACCAGGGAATAACCAGGCAAGAAACAGCAAAAAGTCATTCATGGGAAAATTCTGTGAATGAGTTACTTTTGTTTCTTGCCTGGTTCTTCATGGGAGAATGGCATTTTAATCACATTTCATCTCAACATAGTGTGAAAACCATTCGTGCAATTGCATGCAAGTGTGGGTTAATCACAGATTCTGCATGGGAAAACAGCACTTGGCATGCTGGTGTTGTATGAAAACCATTCATGCAATTGCGAGTTAATCACAGGTTAATCACAAGTTAATCACCGTTTATAGTTCTAGTTTTCCCCTGTGTGATAAACTTGTTAGATGTTTCCTTGTATAATGGACAGCAGCAGACAAGTAACTAAGAATAATAGCTGGAGTTGAAGGAGAAGAAATCCTTAATGAATTTGACTGAACATGACACTCAACAGCCTCATTTATTCTTCTCTTTTCACCACAGCATCCCCCCCAACCTTGTCCAGCATTGCCTTTCTGAGTGTTGAGAGAACTGTTTCCATGTAACTCCCACTGTATTTGATTGTTGGACCTTCTGTGATAATTCTCTGAAGTCCATGAAAACACATTCCCTTTCCTCTTTTCTTTCTTCCTTCCTTCCTATTTTGATGTCAGTGTGAGTATTAAATTATCTGTGAAGTGTCCAGACTTTTCCCTGGTGGCGCAGTGGTTAAATGCCTGTACTGCAGCCACTCACTCATAAACCACAAGGTTGCGAGTTCAATACAAGCCAGGGCTGAGGCTCGACTCAGGACTGCATCCTTCCAAGGTCGCTAAAATGAGTACCCAGCTTGTTGGGGGGCAATCAGCTCACAGTTGTAAACCTCTTAGACATCCCATAGCGTGATATGAAGCGGTATATAAATAAAAATGAAGCTGCCTCTTGGATGAATTTCAGTGCTTTTCTGTGAAATTAGGGGTGTGAGGGAAAGAGATTCCAAACACTTGAAAGAAGCAGTTGTAAGGACACTGATGGAAAATGCCTAGCTTTGATCCCCTTATGCTTTCAATGGAAACCTACTTCCATTTTTAACAAAGGTGATTGACATAGAAGTTGCACTCTAGTTTCAGCATAAAATGGATTATCTAGAATCAATTGAGTCTCCTCTCTTGTTAGAGGTTAAAGGAGACCCTTTCTTGTAGCTTTGACAAATAAGCTTGAATAGACAAGTGATGGAGTCATCTAGACCAGGGGTAGGCAACCTTTCCCTTTTAAGGGCCAAGGGACTTCAGCTCCCAGAATTCCAGGAGCTATTGGCTAACATGGGACTATTGGCCAACATGGCTGAGGCTTCTGGGAGCTGAAGTCCCTCAGCCCTTAAAGGGGAAAGGTTGCCTACCCCTGGTCTAGACCCTTCTTTGTAGTTCCTGTTCAAGATGGATTTGAGTGCATGTTTGGAATATTTCTAGAGCCAAACTCTGGGAGTAGAGATATAAATTTTCACTTTCCTCATTCTCACATGTGACAATGAAAATTTTCAGATTCCTTTCTGCCCTTGCCACTGAGCAAAATTACAAGACATTTGTTTTTAAACACATTTTCTAATGGTTTTCATATTTTGGAACATTTGCAAAAAAAAATTCACTACTGAAAAAACATTTTTGCAAAACAAAAACCTTGTATTTTGTACAGAATGCAGTTTTGTATGCAAAGCATTCCTTCATACTAAAAAATTGTTCCCTTGTTTAAAAAAAGTCCACAAATGCATGTGTGTGTGTGTGTGTGTGTGTGTGTGTGCATTTGTGGATCTTTTTTCAACAAGGGAACAATTTTTTATTCAATTCACCAGTGGGGAATTGAACCCTAGTCTCCAGAATCAATCGAAACCACTACACCATGCTGGCTTCCCTTGTTTACATTAAGGAGGCTATATATGGCCAGCTTCGTCAAATTTGTTAGCTTTATGAATATCATATCATGGTGGTTCACCAATTTTTGAGTGGGGTATTTGGATGTGTTGAGAACAAGAAAACGTTTGAGTATTCTTTACATCCATGATTAGGAGATTCTGTTATTGTCCCTTTTTTTCCTGACTACCACAGCACTGTCTACATGAGGAGTACAAATTTGTTTGGACTCACTGTTCCAGCCATATCAAAGAATCCCACAGGAATCACACATTGCAATTATGAGTTTGCCTTTTCAAATGATATCTTTAGGGGTCAGAGGCTATGCTGAGATGGTTACTAACATTTCATAGTTAAGCCTGACTTTGCTGTTATTTCTACTGGTTACTCAACTCTAGTGCTATAAGCACCTTTGCAAAATTTTACTTGTATTTCTTTTCATCTTGTAAGCCTCCTTGAGTCCCAATTTTTGAGGAAAGGTAGGGTAGTGAAAGGGAAAGTAACATAGCTTCACATGGGCTAATTTAGAAAAGCTGGTATCTCTTATAAATTATATGTCTTGGTCCTAGGAAATTACTTCCAGAAGAACAAGCTGACACTGTGCAGGTTACATGGTATATCTTGTTCCCAATGACAGTAGGGGACTGGGGAATGGGTTATGTAACAAGGACTGGTTTTTTACTTTGTCATCATTGTGTCCTTTGAAGTCATTTCCAAGTTACAGTGACCCTAAGGCAAACCTGTCTCAGGATTTTCTGAGGCTAACAGTATGTGACTCACCTAAGGTCACCAGTGGGGAATTGAACCCTGGTCTCCAGAATCAAAGTCTAATATCGAAACCACTACACCATGCTGGCTCCCCTTGTTTACATTAAGGAGGCTATATATGGCCAGCTTCGGTCAAATTTGTTAACTTTATGAAATTTTCCCAGCATATGTGTTTTGCCGGAGTGTACAAGTTTGTGGCTCAGGGCTGCCATTTTGTTGAGTCTGGGCTGTCAGGGTAGGAGACAGAAATGCATTTATCTAAATAAGGTTAGATTCTTGATTTACGAAATCTGGTCTTCCTAATTTCTTCTAGAGTTATGGAGGAAGAAAAGTCTCTGGAAAAATACAATACTATAGAATATGCTCCAAAGAATCAGTACCCAAGGTTACCATGAATACTACGGAGCTCTTCCGGCAGGCCTATCCACCTGATCTCCCCAATTTGTAACTCTAAAGACTAATTGTACCATGGATATGGCCTCCCAGATAGGTGAAGATGATGACCAACTTGTGCACCGGATAGGGAATTGGTTTTAATTATAAGGATTGTGGGGTTTTTATTGTTGTTATGGTTTTATTTATTGTATTTTATATATTGTACTTTTATATTATTTTATATTATTCTGTACTCCCACCTTGATCTGCAGGGAGAGGCAGGAAAATACAAATAAAAACTA